AAAAAAGACACATTTAAGACTTGAAGTCTAGTTTATGTTGGTTATAGGGACTTAGTAAGAGATAGCGTGCACACTTAAAGGTTCTCAAGAATTTGTAATCAGGTTGTTTTTTATAAAGGGTTTCAAAGGGGCTTAGATTATGTAGGGTAGGTGTGGGAAGAGTGTTGATAAGGGTGGAGGCAGTAAGGAAGGCTTCACCCTAAAAATGAAGTGGTGAAGATGCTGCAGCAAGAAGGGTTAAGCTTGTTTCAGTTATATGTCTATGCTTTCTCTCTGGAGAGCCATTATGTTGATGTGTATGGAGATAGGAAAATCTGTGACGGATTCCATGTTTATTCAAGTATTTACTAAATTTTAAATATTCTTTAGCATTGTCCGATTGGAAAGCTTTAAGTTTGGTTCCAAGTTGGCATTCAACAATGGTTTTAAATTGTAAAAAGGCATCGAAAGCTTGAGATTTATTATTTAAAAGAAAGATCCAGGTATACTTAGAATAAGTATCTACGAAGACAATGTAGTATTTGGCTCCACTAGAAAAGGAAATAGGGGAGGGTCCCCAAATGTCACTAAACACTAATTCTAGGGGAAAGAGTATACAAAATTTGAATTATCAAAGGGAAGTTGGTGTGACTTTCCCGTACAACAAGCTTGACATAAAAGAGAATTAGAACTATGTGCAAAAGGAACTCGACATTGTTGCATAACAGTTCTAACCACTCTGAGGGACGGATGACCCAATCTTGCATGCCAAAGATATATGGGCTTGACAAGAGAATCCTTAGCGGAATTGTAGGTCGAATAGGGAGAAGCATGTTGGAATCGAGAGAAGACATATAGGTCATCTTTAAGCCTGCCTAGAACCAATTCCTTGGTATCTTGAGTTTTGACATTACAATAAGTGGGATAAAATTCAAAAAAGACATAGTTATCATGTGCAAATTTAGAAACACTGAGAAGATTTTTAGTTATGCTGGAAACATACAAGAGTTAATCTAGTATGACACGTTTAGAAGGAGACGGAATATAAAATGTTGATTGTCCAACATGCTTAATATTTAAACATGTACTATTTCCTATTCTGACACAATTTGATCCTTGATAATCTGACTTGAGAGAAAGGTTGGTTTTATCATGAGTTATGTGATGAGAGGCTCTACTATTGGGGTACCAAAAAGGATCTATGACAGGGAGGAAATGACAAGCATGTGTTGATCATATTGCATATTAAATTGAGCACTATACTAAGTATTGTGAGCTTGGGGTCCTCCTTGATATTCCTGATTGAACCTATGCCAACAATCTATAGCTAGGTGTCTTGGTTTGCCACAGATTTGATATTGTGGTCTGGATTGGTTCCATGTATGTTGATTGTTGAGAGCCCAATTTCCTTTGCCATTAAAAAATCTACCACATTGATTATTGTTGAAGTTCTCCTTGAAATTATTCCTATCTCCCCGATTGTTATAACCTCCCCTAAATGATTGAGAGTCAGTCTTGCCTCGGCTTGAACCAATTTTATTAAAAAAAGAAGATCCAGATGTAGTGTTTGCCTGAATTAATACACTCTCTTGTTTCTTATGTTTGTTGAGTCTTTCTTCTTGAACTAGAAGTAAGGCTTCAATGTCATCAATTGAGTAAGAGTCTAACTTAGAAGTGATGGAGGTGACAAAGGAATCAAACTCCTCATGTAGCCCATCTAGAATAGATTCAATATGGTCTTCATTAGAGATTGGGCAAGAGAATCTACAATTCTTTTGATTTCCAATAGGTATTCATTTATTGATTTATTTTTCTTGGTCATTCTAAGTTAAACTTTTAATTTCTTAACTTTGGCTCTTATTTGTTATGCATAATAAGTCTGCAGTCTTTTTTAGATTTGATGAATGTTTACCAAACCAACCATTTTAGTGAAAATTGAGGAGGACATTGATGCTAACAACCATGCAACAAGATCTTGTTGGTTATAGTTAAGAAATGTTTCTTGAATTTTGCCACTGACTTCATCTTCTTTAGAAACAAATTTTTTTGGAATATCATTTCCTTGGATGTATTTTTAAAGTTTCAACTCGCATGACCAACACCTGTTTCTGCCATAATAGAAAGTTCTCATTATTCAATTTGATAAAGATGGGTGTTGTGAAATTTTGAAGAGTGGATGAGATTGCAAAAGCCATAGATATATAGGCTCTATAATACTATATTAAGAATTATGGGCTCATAAAGATAGAATATAATATAAACAATGAGAAAATATCTTATAATTTTTTTATATCCTGAAAATATATTTATAATAATTTAATATAGATAAATAATATAATAAAATTAACTGATAATAGAATTTGATATAGACAGAAAATATAATAAAACTAACTGATATTTATCCATTTTCCTGTTGAAAGAAGCTTACAGAACTCGGAATTGTATGATACCTACTTATACATCGAGCTCAACCCTTTGTGCATGTATGTCGGTAGTTATTTTCAAATCGATTATATTCTCCAGCATCTTGGGTATATGTAATTTTTTTTATATATTAATATAGAGTCGTTGGGCGTTGGATAAAACCTGGCTAAGCTAGAAAATGTAGGAACTAATTCATCGAAATTGATATAAAACTTTTCTTTAACATGTTTTCAAAAGTACACAATATATGTGTGATAATGTTTTTATTAAAAATAATAAATTATTATAGAATTTAATGCATAAATAATATAAAATATTATAATTTTGATAAAAATATCTAGAAAAAAATAAAGATGCTCGATTGGGGTGAGAAATTGTGACAACGTGGGTTCCTTCCTCTGCATGGGCTCAGCCTTGTTTTGAACGCTGACTATTTGCCAAACAACAATCATTGGGAATTAAGAAACCTGCAGCCTACCTAATAGTTAATAAATGGTTGCGTAAGCATGCATCTATATCTATTTATTTATCAAATTATCTATATCAATAAATTACGTTATATAATAAAATATTAAACAGTTTTTAAATGAATCAAATTAATTTTTGTAAATTTTAATATATTTTTCCTATAAATTTGATTAAATTTAATTTTAGTTTTGTTGAATTTTTTATGGTTTTTAAATTATTTTAAAATAGTTTCTAGTATTATTATTCAATGATAATATTAATTTAGTTACGTCACATCAATAATGAGAATTACTTTTAAAAGTTTTAAATTTTATAAGGATTGAAATTAATAAAAATATAAATGATTACAATTCTATATAATTATATTTACAATAACTAAAAATATATTTTTCTCAATTTTGTTAAATTAATTGATTTCAATAAAACTTGTAATTTATGGGGTAGATATATACACCATTAAATGGTGTATGTCAAATTTACACTTGATGTAAATAAGAAAAAAGATTCTTCTACGCTTGATGATGTTACTTCAATTAATATTTTTTCCTTAGCTGAAATACAATCTCACCTTTGTGAGTGCTTTTCGTGTAATTCTCCATCCAATTATGCCATCTACGGAATTAGTCAAGAAGGGAATATAGTCGAAATTTTATTGAGAGGACTTTTAATGCTAACTAATGATTGCAGAAAATTAATTGAACATGGACTGGGATACAAGATGAGTGAATAGGACCACAAAATCACTGTGAAGGCAAAAAAAGAAGTCGCCTAATTAATCATAATCCAAACTACTGCGGACAAAATATCCTGGTTTTTAAATTTTCTCATTTGAATTATTGTACTAAAAGTAAATTTAGCTAAATATCTAATGACATCTTAATTTATATCTTTTCAAAGTTGGTCATTACATTAACTTAGTTCCAATAAAAATTGAGTACGACTTTAGATAAAATTTACTTTTAATATCGCGAAGAAAACAAAATTAAGTGCAAAATATTAAAATACTGGATCAATACGTTGTTGTGCTCTTCCGGTAAACTGAGTAACCGCTATTTGAAATAATTGTGTCTTAATAAGCTATCAAATGCAGAAATCCGTTTACACTTTTTATATTTTAGCTACTAAATGTTGAAAATGATATACGCCATAACATGTAGGTTTCCCAAGAAATTTCATAAATGGTAATATCTAACGATAGATTATACTTCGTTTGTTTAAAAACAAATGCTATTTTTGGTTTATTTGTAGCAAGATGTTCATAATTGGTCTTTTATTTCCTGTTCACTATTTCGTTCTAAGACGGCACTTTCTTAAACTAAGACAATGAATACATTAAATTCGTCGGTGAAAGTACAAAGAAACAAACTTTAATTTCCTCAATCCACGTTAACGCTTATTTATTTGAGGATACACGCTGAATAACATCATTGGTCGTAATGATTAAGCACTCTGAATAAAAGTTAGCAGTTATATAAAATAATATTTTTTTTTTATAACTTCTTCCTAATAACACTTAATAAGAAATAAATAAATAATAACTTTTTATAAAATATTCAGAAGTAGTGTAAAATATTCAGTTCGCAGTTATAATTTTTTTTTATTAAAAATATATAATTAAATGCATTTCTAACCTTTGAATATACAAATTAAAAAATTATACAATATGTAATTGGCATATCTATCTGTTTATACTTGTTCCCTCTTTTCTACATTTCTATTATTTATAGTAGTATACTTTCCAGCCGTTTCTTATGTTTATATAGTCCTTGTTTCATAGCAGATTCCATACATAAAACTGGTAATGTAAGGCCATAGGAAACTGATTAAAAAGGACTTGATATAAAATTATATTATTTTTATAATAAAATTTTCTGTATTATATCATTTATTTAATAATTTTTTCTCTTTCTATTCCTCTAATTCATAAAAGAGTTACAATAAATTCATTGTAAAAATAATATTTTTCTTGATGATATATCCAAATTGCATTTGTTTCAATTACTGGGAAGAGTGAAATTTGAAAATAATGATTCAATTCATTATATACAACATGCTCTAGCTGTCTAGCATATGCTTATCCTTGTGCGCTCATGAAGAGAGAGAAATACATATAAGGCGGGTGCTATCATGAAACTAATCAACCTAGATATCTCACTATCATCGACAAAGGAACTAAGCAAAGCCCTTTCTTCGTCAGTTCTGTGTGGTCACTGTCGCTCCCATTAAAACACAGCTCTTTCCTCTCATCTCTTTCTCCCGAGGTTTTTCCATTTTCCTACAAAAACATAGCAAAAGCGCAACTTGTTTGTTGAAAAATGCATAAATCATTCGCTAGCTTCCACACAATCAGCATGCATGTATGGACTTAATGAGTACACCTTTTCAGTCTAGGGAAAGGTAGTAAGCAAAAGAAAGAGAAGAGATTATTTTGGATGTAAATGAAATATTCTGTTGTTAGTAATTAAGTAAAAAAAAGCATATATTATCAATGTCAATTGAGTTGCTCAAATTAACCTGATAAAGCTCCATCTCTTCCTTCTGTTTTGCCTGGTATAACTGGTTCTCATATAAAACCTAAAATATCATCGATCAATAATTGAATTAAAATTAATTAATATGTATAACTTAACTTCCACTACTTGAAATAATATACAATGTACGAAGAAGAAAATAAGATAAGGGAAATTAAATAAAGAACCTTTGGGCTGTTGATAGGAGAACTTGCAGTATCTTCCAAATCATCATCAACCAAAGCTGTTTTGATCTTCTTTCTCTTCTTGAGACTCGATCCATTACAATGTTCCTTAGCTTGTGTGCTATCATTTAATTTTTTCGCAGCAACCAAGGGAGTAGCATCAGAAACAAGGGAGGAGGAGGTGTTATGATCAGCTCCAGAGAAAGACACATAACATTTGTGATCATCAATGTTATGGTTGTTAAGGAAATCATCAAAATACTTAGTCCAACCACTCTCCTCTGAGGACTCACACTCACCGCTCATATTCTTGGAAGAAGCTTTGATTATGGAACTCATGGAAGCCAGCTAAATTTTCTATCTGAAAGCCAAGAATAGAAGATGAATAATGGTGCAGTTAGTGGGGTTCGGTGGCCAATTTTAAAGAAGCAAGTCTCCTACGGAAAGCTTATATAAAGAGTATATTTAATATGTAATAAACAATTAACAAATATGAATAAATATAATTGAATATATGACGACTTTGGAATATTGGGGTGGGACATATAGTTAGGGAAGTTAAAATTAGCTTAGAGGGGTTGTGTGTGTGTTTGACCTTTGTGGTGAGAAATAGGGTATAAGCCAACAGAGATTTGCCAAAATTTTCTTTATAGTAGACTTAACTTTCCACTAATGATTTGAATTGGTCATCCAGTCATCCTACGGAAGTTTGGAAATGTTCTTTCTCGGCTAGCTCATTCCCTAATCTCGAAGTCCCAGGATAAATTGTATTTATAATTCTAATAATTAGGCTACCATAATCATGTAGTTACTTAATTTATTTCTCAAGTAAATGATGATGCTGGGCCAATAGAATTTATGTGATATTTTACAGAATAAACAATTAATAAATAACATTTTTTTATTAAAAATATAGTATTTAATAACATTATTGCATTAAGTTTTATTTATTTTTTAATAGAAATTACTATATATAAATTTTTATAACGTACTGTGTTTAAAAAAAATGATATAATTAACACTTTAGAAAGAAAATTAATGGATATATTTCAAGTCAGACTTTCACACCCAGAAATGTAAATATATATATATTACGGGTGATTCTTTAAAGGGAGGATGGCATCTATGAGTACAAGCCAACTGTCAAAGTCGGTTCGACTGTTATAAACATATATTCTGTATGTGTCTGTGTGTATTCGTATATTATAATTAATCCCCACTCCCCAATTGAGTGGATACCTGTTCCTAAAAATTTGGCATTTTCGCAAGCACAAAACCCCCCTCCTTACCTTATCTATTATATTGCAATTTCTCTGTTTCAACCTAAAACACAATCAGAGTGAAAGGAATTTTAATCTTTTAAACATGTGATCTCAAATTCAATCCTGATATATATTCATGTGTATATATAGAAGAAACACTATTGAGAAAAAAACGTATTATTTAATACCTAATTGTACCTTAAAAATTGTTCTTCTACATATGAATGATAAGACTTGCAAAACATAGAACAAAAACAAGAAATATATAAAGAAAGGAAGAAGAGTAATAAATGACTGGGTGTGTGTGTGTGTATTCATCTCAACATGCAATATGTAAACTCATCAAAGCAATGGTCCTAGAAATTGGATTATGTATACATTGGTTAGATCATGAATATTAATTATGAGTTAAATTTTACAATGATAAGGTAATGATATTTTAAAACCATTCTTATATTCTATTTCAATATCAAGCTATATAGTGCATCCACGCCTCTAATGCATTATGAGTTTCAACATCATAAGGTTTGGAGGAAAAGGATAAAAATTACAGCCTCAGCATTATCCAGTATATCCACTTCTTCTTGCCGCAAAATCTTGAAAATCTCACGAGAAATGGAGAATGAAATAGAACAATAGCCTTTTTTATTTATTTCTTTGCTCACTTTAAGTTTTTTCCTTTCATTATTTAGAGGGTACTCATCCGTTGAAAAAGATAAACAAGGCATCATCATTGGATGGAATGATGTATTGAGAGTTTGAGTTTATTGACTTAAATCATAAACAAACATATAAAGAAAGCAGGGATCGTTTTAAAAAGAATAAAGATAGCTGATGACTTTGGCGTTTGTTGTTGGCCATTTGTTTAAGGACTTTTTATGTATTTGCTGACGTTGCTTCATAATTGTTTTATCATCTTGTCCTATCAAAACTACGTCATTGTAGATCCTATTAAGGATGCTCCATTCTTTTTCTCATCTATGTGGGAGACTCATTTTAATTTCACAAGTTTACTATATTGCTTTCCCCCACAAAACCTACTTCAAAAATTGTATCGATTTTTCATAAATACCATTTCTCATGTTCTTTTTCTCAATATTAAACTAGCATAACGTGGATTGTATACAAATTATAAGTCTCCGTTTAAGAGCTGAATTTAAATGTACACACTACATCAATTACTTTCAGTACATTTCAATTTATAATTTTTAGATTTGTACAGGGGATTATCGCATCAATTTTCTCCCCAGTAAAATTACATATTTTGTACCTGTGGTGTGTATGAGTGTGAGAGGAATGCTAATTTGTCATGATGCATTCCCCGGCGAATTTTAATTTAGAATATTCATAAATCAAAATTGAAAGGGCAAGCAAATTTTCAGCATTCTTGTTATATCTTTCTTTCTTTTTAATCTTGAAAGAACTAAAATAAGGAAAAAATTATATATATTAAAGGACATGATTTTAACCAAAGAATAATATATATGAGTCCAGAGAACTACTAGCTCTCTTGTAACATCGAAGTGTACCCATATCTAAAGTCTAGGACATAAGTATAAAAGGATGCAATCTGCATCTATCAAACATGTTTCTGTAAAATGGAAAACGATCTTCAATTTAAACTCAACTGCTGATCATTTAAAAAAAGAAGAGAGAAAATGATTTGACCAAAAAGCAATGGACCACAACACACATGGAAAATTTCTAAAAGTTCAATCTAGGTGACTATTTTGTCTAGGACAAGACACATGAGCCTATACCGCAATGTCTCTCTGTCGTTGAACTTTTCGCATCTGAAGATTTTTTTAGTGGAATATTTATCACCACTGCTGAGAACAGAAATAATGTTCATCTGCCTAAACGAATGCCAAAAAAGCCAATGTGTCTGAGCATTTAATGGCCAATATCAATTTTGGTTCGTTTAGGGTTCATTTTATATATTAGTTCAACAATCCCTGAACTTTAATTTATTTTGATTAGTCCCAGTTTTAATTGTTTTAATGTTTTCAGTTAATTAAAACTTGGTGGTATACATGCATTTGATGAGATTATCCTTGCATTTTATAATGGCTGGGAAAATTAATTAATGTATCCAATAGCTGCTTGGGTCGAACTGATCATTATTCACATTTTCAAATGCCTAAATTTGATTATTTGTACTTGAACCACTTAAACTCTAGTCTCATTCCATTTATAAGTATTTTACAGGTTTTATTTATCAAATTATCCTTTGTTAATGATAATCATTTTGTATTTTATTATTCTTTAAAATATATCTCATATTCACAGAAAGTAAGAACATGTTTATTTTTATTTTTAAAAAGAGTTTATTTTAAACAAAAAATATATTTGTTTTTAAAAAAAATTCATTTTAAAAATAGAAATAAGTTTTTAGTTTAACTTTCTTGAACTAGACTGCAAGTGAATATTTACTTTTTCTCGTTAGCTTTTAAATTAAATTAATTTAAGTTCTTATAATCCTTATTAACATGAAAATATTTCATATAACAACTATTATATTAAATTAAATTATTGTTCAAAATTCTTGCATTTAACAAGTTATAAACTTAAATCTTTATTTTATTTTTTTAAAATAAATTAAATATAAATATTTTATAAGCATTTTTTTTAGTTTAAAAACTTTTTTTGCCTTAGACTAAAGCATCATTTCCTTCGTCCCAAAAAATAAAAAATGATGTAACCAAAAAGATTATTGATTAAAGTTATATATGCCTGACACTAAAGTATTAATTATTAGCCTTGCATATTCCTTATCATTCCCTTGTCCCTTTATCTTGAATAGGCACTTAAAAAAAGGCAAAATATACAAAGTGAGTTCCGTTTTATCATTTATTTTATATTTTAAATACTACTCTAAATTAACTGTCACGCTGTTGGTGTAAAATGCCAGTAATATTACTTTAGGAAGATATGTTTAATAACATAATCCAATTACACTTAAGAGAAGTCTCTAGCAAGATTTAAACACAATTAAACTTTTAGAAATCACAAATCGCTAATTACATAACCCAACACCATTATTCAGCATATAACAGTGTTGTTTCCAATCATATACCCCCATGCCATATGATTATAACGAATAAACTAAAAAATGCTTAAAAAAACATGATTTAACCTGCTTCCTTCTCATATAACTTGTACGACATGATTATAAAATTGTATTATAATAAATATCTAAAAATTAATATATATATATCACATGTGATGAGAGAATTGTGGGTGATGGTGTTAAGTCATCATACATGAGATAATAAATTATCTTATATAGTTTAGTTGTAAATTCATTAAAATAATTATAATTAACTAAATGAATCTAAATGTCAAAGACAAGAGCATTAAGTTGAGGCCACTACTTAGTGGGGACCCAACTAAACATGGTTTGGGAAGAATATTACTAAATTTAGGTCAAATACCTCTGCTTTTTTCTTTTCAATGCAATCTAATCTGGGATTCTGGTCATAGACGAATGGCTCATTCAAAACTGAAAAACATATTGATGAAATGGCACACTGGAAGATCTTATACACCTGTGTCATACCCGTTGCTTGTGGTTAACATGCTAGAATGTGAAGCTTGTAGAATGCAAATTCTCTCTCTTTTTCGAAGAAAATTCTCTCCCATATCTTTCTCTTCATCCTTCATTAAAAAAAAATAACAATATATTTACATTTAATAGTTTAGATAAATAAAAATAATAATTTCATAATTAGTCAATCTATTTATAATATTGATTGATATAATTATGAGATTGACCATTCTCAAATAAAAAATTAGTCAATAATAATGTGAGATTAGTCAAATTTTTAATGATAATATAATTAATGATGCTATAGGCATGATATATAAATCTACCTGTTTGCTTAATTAGAGTGTTTAGTTTCAGATTTTTAAAAAACAAAAATGTGTTTTTTTATTATATTTCATCTTTTTAAATATTTGTATAAAAATAGAAAAAAATATTTTCTTTATAAAGTTTGAAAAACATGAAAGTAAAAAATAAATAAGGTGATAATTTTGTAATTAAAAGCAAAAAAAGAAAATAAA